CTGGAGTGCAGTGGCCGCTCCCGGCCACTGCAGCCTCAACCTGCTAGGCTCCGGTGATCCTTCCGCCTCAGCCTTCCAAGTAGCTGGAATTACAGGCATGCGCTACCATGCCCGGCTGATTTTTTATTTATTGTAGAGATGAGGTCTCGCTGCCCAGGCGGGTCTCGAACCCACAGGCTCAGGCAATCCACTCACCTCAGCCTCTCAAAGGTCTGGATTACAGGCTGAGCCACCGAGCCTGGCTAATTTTTTTTATTTTTAATAGAGACAAAGTCTTGCTTTGTTGCCCAGGCTGGTCTCAAACTCCTGAACTCAAGCAATCCTCTCACCTCGGCCTCCAAAAGGGCTGGGATTATAGGCATGAGCCACCACACCTGGCCACACTCAGTAATTGTTAATAGCTTTATTGAGATACAATTCACATACTATACAATGCAGCCATTTACAATCTACCCATTTAATGGGTTTTGTACTCACACATGTGCAGCCAACTTTAGGACATTTTTATCACTTTGGAAGCCCTGTACCCATTGTCTATCACTGCTGGGCCCTGCATCAACCTCAGCACTATGTAATGACCAATCTACCTTCTGTCCCTATGAATTTGCCTAATGTGCACATTTCATACAATTGACTCACATAATACACAGTCTTTGTGACTGACTTCTTTTGTGTAGCATAATGTTTCCAAGGTTTATCTATGCTATAACTTGTGTCAGCACTTCATTCCTTTTCATGATCGAATAGTATTCTGTGGCATGGATCTACCCCATTTTGATGATCCATTCATCGGTCGACAGACACCTGGGCTGTTTCCACATTGGAGATATTATGAATAATGCTGCTATGGACATTCATGTACACATTTTTTTTTAGAGGACATGTTTTTATTTCTCCTGTGTGTATTCTTAGGAGTGGATTTCTGCATCATATGGTTAACTTTTTGAGGAATTGCCAGACTGTTTCCTAAGGTGTCCGCATTATTTTAGATTTCTACCAGCAGTGTAAGAGGATTGTGATTTCTCCACAACCTTGCCAATACTATACTTTCTGGTTCTAGCCATCCTCATGGGCATTAAATGCTATCTAATTATGGTGCTGATTTGTATTGCCTAATGAGTAATGGTGCTGAGTATTTTTTTCTTTTAATTTTTTTATTTTAAAGATGTGGGGTACAATTCAGGGTTAGGTATATAAATGTTCATTCTGCAGGTGCCCTTGTTGATGAGGTGTGCCCACCACCCCACCCCCCTGGCAGATTCCTACTACTGCA